GCAGAAATTTTAACCCTAAAAAATGCGCGCGAAGCACGCCAAAAAAATTATGAGTTTTAAGAGAATTGATTAAAAAAATCCTGTCAAAAAATCCCTAAAATGTGCAAATTTTAGTGAAAAGTTGGCCTAATCTGACAAATGCGCACGAAGCGCGGGAATTGGGTATATTTTTAGGCAATTTCAAGGGTGAAAACAGCATCTTATCTTCTTCCCCCTTTCTCAATTTTCCCAGAGGGGTTAAACATTTTGGCAAGATTTTACTCAGGGTTGCGTTTTCACCTCTACTCCCGCTGGTTACACCACTTGGTTCTAAGTTAATTGAACACATAATAGTCCCAACTCAAGGAGAAAGAAAATTTAAGGTAGAACGTTTTATCATAAAAGAAGGGCTCATTGGTCCATTCTAAAATGTGAAAATACAGTAATAATTCTTTGCATGCGTATTGATGATGAAAGAATATGGTTGTCATAAATAAAACCATAATGAAAATGCTTATATTTAGTTTCAAACACACGTGTGTATGTGTAGGCCTAATATATTATATATATTCCGTTAAGATATGTCGTATTGTTCTCTATATTGGGGGGAGGGGGAGGGTCATAAACACACCGGGTCATAAATTATCAACCGGGAAAATTATTACCTTTTCCCCCTCCCGAGCCAAATGGCCGAGCAGTTAAGGCAGGGGCACCGTGATCATAGCCAATAATATCGGCATAGTTTCGCGGCCGGCTCGCTCCTATGGTTCTGGTGGTGGAACAAGTCTTCTCGGATAAGGACTATAAACCGTAGGCCCAGTGTACACAAATGCTTATGTGCACTTTAAAGAACCCAGTACATCCTTCGAGATGAGTAAGGGGTTACCCCGGTGTATTGGTTCACCCGGCCGCTGTCGTGGACTGTTTTATGTGAACTGGGCCCTCTGGGAGAACAGTAATTTGTTACTGAAGAGGAAACCCAGTATAAAGAACAAATAAATTTTAAAAAATACATTTAAAAAAAAGACCCCTGTTACGCGCCTGTTTCTCATGTCTTTGCCTTCTTCTTTTCTTGCATATCTTATTATAGTACAAACATTTTCATTGTTATATCTTTTGCAAAAATGATGGTAATTAAATGTTGAATTGAATTAAAGTACAATATTCATGTTATTACAGCCAGCGTAGACATGTGTACAGTTCTAGGTGTGGAAGGGGTAACGGGAAAGTGGGGATATGCACCTAATAACTTTGTAACAGACCGAATGGTATTAGCAACAACATAATATTAGGCCTAGAATAGAAGCAAGTATTGTATAAAGGGCTTAGGGTAGCCTTAATTGTCATATGGCAAAATAATGAATACATAATACAGCAATAAAGAAGTGAATAAAAATAAGAATAGGCCTACTAATTATTTCTGTGACTTTTTTTCTTAATGAATTTGATAAGTTTCATTTAAAAAAATATTATTCATCATGATCAACGTCATAATAATAATAATAATACTTAATACTATTCTTATAATAGACGATTTTTTTTGTCTAATTTGTGATTACCAAAATTTTACTTTGATCACAATGCTTTGCTATGGAGCTTGACGATTAAATGAATAAGCATAGCATACTACTCACCTATAGTATCCTCGACAACCACTTCCAATGTAGTGATGTCATTAACCATCGAAAACTGCTCAATTCCCACATCACCCATGGTCTCAAAGTTGTTATCCACAGTCTTATCAGATAATTCATTTCCAAATCGTATCGATTCTCCCTCTTTGAAGTACAAAATTAGCAAAAATAATATAAATCTACTATACATGGTTGCAACATTAAGCTTGGATTTGTTTCAGTTTCACTTCAACGCAAAGGGTTTTGTGTGAAGTGGTTGAGCTGACAGGTACGGTATGCCACATTATTTGGGAAATGCAGTATGCAAATTTTGGAATCAAAACAAAGACATCGTCGATTTGTATTGAAATACCAATAATATTACCAGTACATTATTTTAAACAACTTTCCTGTAACTTCTGGGCCGGTGGAAAGTAAAATTGCTTATAATGGCCCAATTTCAAACAAGACTGTAACTGCTTTTGGTGGCGTACTGGTGCATGAGAGTTCGAAGACGGTAGGATGAAATAATGATATTAATGTTAATTGGTTTATATTTTCTATATTATTGTTGTATTTGTGTCTAATTTTAAATACTTGTTTATTATAATGACGCACCGTTCACTTCAAATGTGTGTTACCCGCCTGATGGTGTATATCTAAATAAATGATAAATAAATAAATGCTTCCTGTAACTTAAATCTAAATGAATGATAGGCCTAATGAATAATTTATCAATAAAACGCAAAATATAAAACCAAACTACAAACGATATTTAACGCATTACTCCAACTATAACATATCTAAAACATCAATTATTATTATTACTATTATAATAATTATTATTATTATAATTATAATAATAATTATTATTATTATTATAATTATTATTATTATTTATTATTACTTATTATTTATTATTACTACTACTACTACTACTATTGTCTAATGATTTTTGCTGTCACAATATTATATTAAGCCATAATATTTCTCTGTAGTGGGATGAATAAGTCTCATTGTATCCTTGTATCCTTGTATTGTTGTTCACAGATGTGTGTTCAGAATCCATTCAACATCCAACATACATTCAACTATGCCAGCTTTCAACTCTCTTATGCCGATAACAGGGGCATATTTAGGGGCGACCCGGCACCTCCTTTTGGAAAGTAAAAAAAAAAGAAGTGACAGAAAGAAAGAGAAATTATTGATCCCCCAAAACGCTTCCCAGAGATTATTTCCAGAAGTCTAGAAAACAATTTCGCGGTAGTGTTGTCCCTCGATCGCCACCCCCCACCCCTCCCTCCCCATCTCCGACATCTCTGGATCCGTCACTGTAAAATGTCACTGCACCATGCTACTGACTCTCGATACTTCATACATAATTTTGCAATATTTGAACAATATACGATGACTATAAACTTAAGTTGTTATCTTTATTGATTTCCATTAAATAATAATACATCTCTATCCCCAGTATTTTGTTTTATTATTATTACAGAAGTTCATCAATTATTGTTTATATTACACAAGAGCAGTTTGAATTAACAATCATAATCGATTGAATATAGACCTATTGAAAATAAGGAAAATTTCATGTTAAAATACATGTGACCATTATGTGATATTAGTACATTTAGTTCATTTTGTCGATTAGTCAAATTCCAATATATATTTTCTACTTATCAAACGATTTATTTCTGAGCTTTTAATTTCAAAATTAATAAATTGGGATTTCTCAACATCCCATTTTTTAAGAATATGGAATGTCATATAAGTGTAGCTTACCTTTAAAAAGATTCTATACATCTGTACAATTCACTGATATTATGAATGAAGTTATTTTATTTGTGTTATTTTGTATACGCAATGAGATGCTATAACTGCACTAAAGCAAAAATAGGCTCCCAGTGGGAGCGTGTGTCTAATACCCCATACTGCCTTACTGTGTTATGTTTACTAATAAAGTATCCACATGGGATTCAGTTATCAGGAAATGTGTGCTGTTTTATTTTTTGTATGAATTTTGTACAGTAATAAGGTACTTAAGATGACACCTGACCCATCATGCACCTCCACCGGATTTACCCTTCAGCCATCTTTAACTGCCAGACAACAACATAGTTTCTTTGCCCCCGAGGGGCATAGACACAACAATTGGCAATCCTGACCAAGTTTAGGACGCCCTTCACAGACAGATAATTGTGAAGAGGGTAAATTCATATATTGAAACCAATAATATATACGTACTGTACTGTACTTGCAACGTTTTGATCTACTACCAATACGTTTACATCTTGCAAAAGACTATTCATTCCGTCACTGCAAGGTTTAGATGTCTGTGCTGCAGAAGACTCCAGGAAATTGCTTTTCTAAGACTAGACCATTTCGATTACGTGTATGTGTATGTGTGTGTGTGCGTGTGTGTGATATTTACTACATAATGAAGGGGAAAAAAATATCAACGATAATAGCAATTTATCCAAATAGGCAAGTGCAAATCTTTAATTTAAAATTGAAAATTCTCTACAGTTTTCGTCTAATATATCTTCTTTCTTTTCATACAGACGTTCAGTAGAACTTCATCAGGCACTGACGGGTGCTGGTGCTAGTTGTTCAGTGCCTGATGAAGTTCTACTGGTAGAAGATCGAAACGTCGCAAGTACGTATATATTATTGGTTGAAATACATGATTTACCTTCTTCACTATTTGAATAAGATAATTCTGATTTTAATAAACGTCGGTCTACTAATATAGGACATTGGTTTTTTTTTAAATATATTAACCTGTGATGCTGCTACTAGTTGTATTTTAATAAGTCCTTGTTTAAATATAATTTAATTACTTTGATAAGACAAATTTATAATAAAATTAGCAGGATTTAAGAAATATATGTAGATGCTCTTTTTAATTTCATTAAATTCATAATTTCATTTGATGAAACAGATAAAAACAAGACAAAGAAAAATCTTTCTTGACGCTGTAAATGTTCAGATACAACCAACAAAAATCTCATCTTAATGAATGAAGAACTACTTATATACAAATGATTATAATCCAATGAAACTTTTTTCAGTAAGCCTTATAAGTTTAAAAAAAAATATTTGCAAATCACTACAATGAACCTTCCAGATTATCATCAAACTTAACAATTGGCTAATCAGAACAGTGCTAGGAATATGCGCGTGTCTAACCCACAGACACACGTGTTTGCGTATGTTTTGTGGGACCTTAAAACAAAATCCAAGGGGCAGGGCTTAGCGGAAAGGTCCATTACAGCTTTACCGATCATCTTCATTGTCACATTGCACATTCTAATTTTCAATTATTAGTGTTATACACAATTTGCAGTCTTCCTCATTAGAATACAGACACAAACCACTTTGCATATGGTACATATTATTTTTGTCTCATGGATACACTGTCACCTAGAACTTGCAAAAGTAGGCAGCATAAAATATTTCTGTTAACAGTACTTTATATACTGTATTTTCGTTTACAGTATCAATCATCTAAACTCATATCAATCATCTAAACTCATTTGTGCCATGTTGTGTGCATGAAAATAAAATAATATCATTTTAAACTGAATCACATTATCATATGGTTCAACTATGCTTTAATGTTTTTACGCCAACAAGGTTCATATATTTCTTTCTAATACATCTCTAATTAACACCTATTGTCATATCACCCACATCTGGTGCAGATTGTGTAGATGTGTGTGTGTGTGTGTGTGTGGGGGGGGGGGGGGGGGGGTGTCGAATCTTGTGCATGCCCAGTGAGCTAATTCAGGGATTCGAAACAGAGAGAGCCCCACGAGAGATTTTCACAGACAGAGGAAAAAAATTTATGATTATGGCACCTCTAAATTGCGGGAAATGGCATTCTCAGACTTCTCATAGGCAAATTCAGGGGGACCCAGCCAGCCCAGTCCCCCCTAAATGTTTCAAAATTTAACAAAAATTCAGAAAAAAAGAAAATTACATTCAAATTTAAGTCTAAGAATGCCTTTTCCAGGCATCAAGAAGTGCCATAATCAAAGTTTTTCAACTCACTATCTGTGAAAGTCCCTATTTCAAATACCTGGATCTGCCATTGCTTATACAGTATTTTATTATAATTTTAGTCTGTTCTCCATTTTTTTTTACAATTTTGGAAAATTTAGTGAGGGAGGGGCTTTGGGCTCACTCGCTCCCCCTCCTCTTTGAATCAGCCAATGATGCAGCAATGAGTTTTTACACATTCAAAATTTACCTACTTGGCTTTGCATATGCAGAAAACTATTCTTACATTTGTTCCAAATGTAAAACCTACTAATATTGCATGTTAGTGAAACAAAGAAAGTTAGCTAACTTATGGCCTCTTGTAAATTTGAAAAATCCTTAATATTGGTAATATCTTGGTGATGGTTACATTAGTGGTATATATTGTAAATTTTATGTTTAAACTTATTGTAGTTGTTTATTTCCACCAGAAAAAAAAAACCCATTCACATATTGAATAAAATGATAACAAATTATTACTTAAATAAACAATCGCTTGGTACCAAAAACAAGGAACAGATTACTATTAGCCTGAGGGATATAATTGTGAGATTTAATAAAAAATGTGCCACCTTCTGGATGACATTTTGATTAGTCGACTTTTAAATTTCAATAAATTTGGATGTAATTCTGAGCTTCTATATGCATTTTGCTAAATACCAATTTTCCCCCCTGACTAGTTGTAACTGATTTCGAACAACCACTAATCCTTATAACATTTTTGTAATTGCAGATCATATGCTTTTAAAGCCAATTAGAGCACAATCTTAATTAACTGAATTCACAGTTTTTCCACTTTTCTAAACAATTGGAAACTCATCCTGAACAACCTGGAAGTATAAATTTAAAATAAATGGTTAATATTAAACTACTAATTTTTTAAACTATTTTTATACAAAATTATTGTTGAATTAGAATTATAATTAAAATTATTGACAGAAATAGGGAAATTTAATAACATTACAATATGTGAGCTGACGTAACAAAATGAGTCTTGTGTGACAAAAAATGAAAAACTATTTGATATATTTAGATAGATGACTATATAAACTTTATTTTGGTCTTTGAATCAGGTTCCGAGGTTGAGTAAAACCGGAGTAAGATCGTTTTAAAGTTCAGATGGCTAAAAGTATACTAAAGAGAAAATCGCCCACAAAGATAAAGAACTGATACATTTTGTGTTAGTTTTCCTATCAATTCTGAAAAATAGCTTTACAAAATGTGCCTCAAAAACATGATTACCTAGGTAATTCAACTTCAAACTTTTGCTACTATGAAATATACATAATAAACTTATTAGAAAAACTGAAACTCAATTTTTGTCAAAATATCACTTCAGATATTTTCCTAAATATATCATATTGACTCATTTTGTCATGACAGCTCACATATACTACTGATGCTAATAAAAACACTGATAAATTTGAGAATAGGACTAATCAACAGACTAAACAGACCAATCAATTGATCAATCACCAGCTTATTTAATTGATCAATATAGTGATCATTCAAAATTGATTAAACAATTGATTGATCAAACTGATTGGGCTATTAACTGACTAAGTGATTCATTAATCAATTGCTCAGTTAATAAATCAACTTATTATTCAATTGGTCAATTGATAGATTACCTGATTAATTATTTATTATTATTCTTATTATTATTATGTAACATACTATAAATAAACTTTACTGAATATCATTAATTAATCTTAAGAAAAAGCATCTAACTCACTTTCAAAAGGCGCTGCTTGTAATTCTCCTCACTTTCTTGTGGCCTTCGATCAGGGACGCGCATCTCATGGCGTGTAATACAGATTTTCAAGCGGTGGGCATCAAATGTTTCAGCAGGGTCAATGTGTTTAGTGTTTATCAAACCAACAAGGTACTCCTTGTAATGCACTCTATTAACAAAAAGAAGTTTTGTAGTGAACATGTACATTTAGCTTGGTGGTTAAGATGCTTGCCTTCCAATCCCAGGGTCTTGGGTTCAAATCCAGTGCCAGCAGAGGATTTATTCCTCATGACTAAACAACATATCTCCACTTTCTATGCCTCATAATGCGACCTTGCTGATAAAGTATCATGTTATACATGTATTTAAGAGGGTCCCTGAACATCAGCCAGATAGCTAGACGCTATCACCTTTCATAAGTAAATAAGTAGTTTTCAAATATTTGCCCTGGATCAGAATTATGAAATCACTTGTAAGCAACATATGAATATTACTGTATTGTACATGTAAATTGCTCTCATGAAACCAAGTCACAAAACATGAAAATGTGTTTTTGACATAATCATTTTCTAAAAAATAATTAGCTTTAAAATGATGTAACTTTAGTTCAATAATTTCCTTTAATACAATAAACAAATAATGCATGAGGTATCAATATTAGCCTAACTGAAAAAAAGTTTCAAACTTAAAAACAATTTCAATAAAATTGTAGCTTAAAGTTTTCAAATGTTCAATAATTTGTTGGATGACACATGTACAAAATATGGATACTGTATAAACAAAGCCAAAATATAAAACTTAAGTTTCAGACATGGTTTTTTTCAAGATACTAATTTGCATCTTTGGGTTTTATGGGAGCACTTATATATGCTGTAAATTTACTTCACATGGAAGGCCTAATATTACTTTAAAGTGATATCTTACTCGCATAATCCTGCATTCTTTCCCTTGACTGCCTTGCCGCACTTTTCATCTGTAAGTCCATTTGGCGTATCCTTTTGTTCCTGTACGGGGCATTTATCAACCCGTTCACCAGGCTTTGGTTCTGTATCAAAAGCTACATCATGGCTCTAAAATCAAAACAATTACTGAACATTAAAAACTATAACAATAATGATAATACACAAATTTGCCAAAGGATACAACACAAAGTGCAACCTTTCAGCTTTTGAGCTCACTATAAATTGAGGTGCATCATTGAAGAGATTGTATTGAGATAATAACTAAAATACGTAATCTTCAGATGTTTCATAGTATTCATAATATGCCAATAAATTTCTAACTATAAAAATGTTCTTTGTGCAGATTTTGTACTTTCCTATTGCCTATTATTTGTTTATTATTAGTTAATCTAAACTTCTATAGCTCATACCTCTGTATCTGTGTATGTATATTTATATAGTTATGACATTCATTTATTTTGTTTTTAATCAGGTTAATTGTTAATAGGGGAATTGTTAAAATATTATTATCTGTTATTATCTACTTATTCTAGGAAAGTCATTCAATCACCAAATTAAAGTTTACCATGTACATACCATTAACTCAATTTTATTTTTATTTCTCAACCATGTGACTCCTTTTGTAGTGACTTCAAATATCTCATTTAACAATTTTTTTTTTGTTTGATAAATTCTGGATTCTATCATTTTTGGTTTGTTTACTTATACTCCATTCATCCATGCTTTCAGGCAGCAAATAGGCTGAATAGAAAGCTCACAGTATAACTGTATTGAATGTTCTCCTTGCAACAAAAGTACTGTAACTTTAAACAAACCTTAAGTAGATTCTGAAGAACATCAACATCAAGATCTCTCAGATAAAACAAACAATCTCTTGGATGATGAGTATGTAAACCTTTTGTGCGACAAGATTCGTATCGGGTACATTTCTGAAATTAATTGAGGTACATTAATAATTACACACATCATTAAGCACATTCTCATGAAAAACTAAAATGAAATTCTTGCTTAGAGCAAATGAAACACGGATGCATTTTTGATTAAATTTTGATGGAAACCTTACAACACAGGTATGATAAAGGCATTTAAGTACACTACATTACAATTTGTGCCACTACTTCTGCTAAAGGATACAAAAGTCTGGCTCAATAATTTATCATAAATTCTGAAGTTTATTATTCCAAAAAAATTTAATATAAATCTTACTGATGACATTGGTTGCTTGCATCCACAGCAAAACTCATGTTTACACTGAGTACATCTGAAGTGCATACACCCACCTTTAGCAAGGTCATATCTCATCTTACACTTAGGACAATCTGCACAAAAAAGTATGAAGAACATTTAAAATAAGGATAAATATTGATATATTTAATTTTTTTTTAATTGAATGAGGCATTGGAGGTGCACAAAGAAAATATAGTTAGTAGATTGAACTGAATTGGATTTCTTTGGTGTGATGCACATCAAGGATAACCCACAAAAGTCATGAGACTTATTTCCAGTGGTGTCCTCCTGATGATAAATTGGGCAGTATACCAGGAGACAATCGCCTACTCTTTTGCAAATAGTGCACTGCATTCTTTAACATGTACAAGGGCTATTTTGCACACGGGACCAACGGTTTAAGCATCTGATTTGACGACGGTTCACTTTTTAAACTTACTTTTCAGCCCTCCAGCTGAAACTCAAAGAGAACAGCGATAGGAATTGAACCAGGAATGAAGAGATCTCCACTGTTCAATGCACACACAGTGGCTACCAACAGTTTAGCTGACTGAGCTGGCTGCTTTCATTGAACAAACCAATGAGACATCATGAATGGAAATTAAGAACAAGAGAGGAAAAAAGGGCAGAACATATCAGTTGTAAAATATGACAAGCAGCAGATGAAAAGTATGGTACAACCTTAATATTCTGAACTTGCTCCAAACTATGAAGTTTAATATGTGGCTCAATACATAGTTAATATAGGTGAAAGTAAAGATTTCCAGGATATAAATCAACTAATATAGTCATACCTATTCCATTCTCCTGTAGATGTCTGGCAAGACCAGCAGCCTGTAGGTCAGGATCATTGTCTCTCCTCCACTGTTCAAATTCTTCACAAGAGATGTTGTCATGCTGTGGCTCCCACTTTAAAATAAGGAAAAGATAATTAAAACTTTTTAACAAGGTAAAACCTATATGAGGTACAACATAATCTATAAGAGCTCTATCAGTATAGTTGATGTGTGCCGAGATCAGAGAAATTGTATAACCCAGTTGTAAAGCAGATGTCTGGTGATCAAGCTTTATTTAAATTTTGCCCTGTGGTGTGGAATGCAATTCCATCATAAATTCAACTTACTCCTACTGTTGGACAAGTCAAGAAAGCCATTAATAATATAATATAATATAATATTAATAATTAATATAAGACTTACTTAGTGCAACACTGCAAAAATATATGAAACAACATTACATAACAATTATGGTACTATACTGTACCAATATATAAGGGTAGATTTTTTCATAAAATATTAAATGACAAGAATCTATTTTAGGCGTGTTATAAAACAAATAATGAATTGTTTTTGTATTTGCAAAATGGAAAGAATATTTTCATTCATTGAAAGATTTATTGTTCCATTCAACTCAGCTCAAACTCCTTGAATGGAACAGTCAATCTTTTTTTTTATTTCAGTAGTACTTTCGTACCATCAACTCATAAAAATATTCTTCCCATTGCACTTATAAACATTCATTATTTGTATACTATTTTCTTACTATTGACTACATTAAATATATGAAAAGACAATTTTTTTTACTATACCTTTTTCTTACACTCAAAGCAAGAGTATTTTTTGCAATCAGGACACTGCATCTTACGGATATTCTGCTCGTTGATAAAACCACTGCCACACTATTATAAACAATTAATATTATACAGTATTTATTTTAAATACAAAAGAATATATATGAAATTTAAATTGAATAGTTCAGAGAAAGTAAAAAGATATATATTCTATTACACATAAAACCCATTACTTTGACATTCACTAAGTGGCTTTTACTAATTTAGCAGTATATAATAAATTCTCAAAGAATTTCATAAGAAGGTTTCATAGGTATAGTGGAAAAATTATCTGTATTGTTGAACCAATTAGCTACTTATTTTAGTAAACAAAACAAATAATTTGTCTAATATAATAACTTGTATAATATTACTAATAGCTCAGATGGTAGAGCCGAAAAAAAAAGACATCAATGTGTACTGGATTCAAATCCAAATTGGAGCAATACAATATTTTATAGCAACTTTACAATGTAATTCAACATTTGATTGTATTGTATATTATGCAATAGCACATTCTAATAGAAAAAATGTAATGGAGCACATCAGATCATGGCTCAGTTAAAATAGCAACAGAACAATAATCAAAGGGTCTTGGGTTTAAATCCCAAATGGGGTACAATTTTTCTCAAGTAACCATTAACTGTACTGTGTGACAAAGACCATCATAGTGACTATAACCATCTAACAAAAAATATTTACTTACATGTAAGCACCATCTAAAACGATCGTCCTTAAACAGTTGTAGGTCTCGCAGTTTACGGTGAAGAAGATCATAAACATCTTTATCAAGCACGCTTCGAAGCTGAAAACAAGAATATGTACTATGCATACTCATTCGATATTAATTTAATTGCTGAAAAATGTAATAATTTTGAGTACTGTATATTCTCACATATAAGATGAGGCTTAAAATAGCAAATTAAGATTGAAAAATTCTTATACACGCAACACATGTCTGGCAGTCAACGTGTTAAAGCCTGTGGCCTCTGGCTTCTACCACTGAGAGCTTAAAGCTCTTGCGCTACTGGTTGTACGCGCACCTGTCTATTGGAAGAGACATTTAAACCATTACCAACAGTAAGCAACAGTTGCATAGTAAAATAATTTTTGTAATACCGGTCTTGGTAACACTTACCATAACATCAATCATTGCAAAGTACTGTGATACTTCAGCTTCAGTAATTTGCATAAGTTTTGGCAAGTCACAAGAAGGACAGGAAGCATCTAGAATATTCCGGTCCTTGATACATACAGTGAAATGACCTTTAAAACATTCTTTACAAATCAAACACTGATGGCCTTGCTGACAAAATGGTGATTGCAAGAGCTAAAAATGAAGAAAGAAGCTGGTTATTAAATATTTGTTTATAAAATAGAAGTATTCAGGTAAGTAAGTAAAGGAACTACAACTGCTATTTATTAGTAAAGTACTGTTCACAGCACTTTCTATATCCGCACACAAGTGACTCTAGAGCAGTTCTCGAGCGAATCGCGAGTGATGAGCTAATGAATAACTAATAAAGCAAGAGCCCAATGTTTAGTCATAATTGCAACGATAATGATAATGATACTAAAAAGTAATTATTCATATAGAAAATACACTTGGATGTGTACACAGTAAAAAAAATGTTCATATTAAATCAATAAAATTGATGTCATAATCATGGAAAACGATAAAATCATAGTAGTAAGAACGATTTTACTATTTTTCTATGATTACTGTATGACATCATTTGAATTGATTTGTCAAAATATTTTGTTATCGTATACACAATAACCCGTTATCGAATTGTCCTAGTGCAAAAACTTCTGTTATTTCTTTTATTTTTTTATATAAACAATTGCTTTTTATCATTATCATTGCAAGTATAAACAAGCCTTTATGGAATTGAGTAAAACAACTGTTGATGGACTCCCTATTTTCAGATAAGCCATATATGTGTAACAGGTGGTTCAGTTGCGGTTTACTGTAGTTGTTTTTGTTAGGAATAGTTTATACGAGTGAACAACATGTTAATTTTAAAAAGATTAGCATGTGTCTCATTATAACATAATAGTTACACGATAATTACGTAATAGTTACGTTTAATATATATAATGGCACAGGCAAATTTTCTTAGCTTAGAGGTTTTAAGAAATGAACAATATAAATCGTAAATAGAAATAATATTACTCTGGCAACATTTTCTCATGCAAGAGAGAATAATTTTACTTAGGCTGTTACTGTAACTAGGCAACTTGCAACACTGGCAACTTGAGTATTATGTCTATTTCAAAAGGCCTTTTTTTTCATTGATGATGACAAGTAAAAGCATCATTGCAAACTGAGTGGATAGATATTAATGTTGAAATTGTTACATGTCAATAAAATAGTTATTAGTAACTTTAAGTATTAAAACTGACATACCCGAGACATAGGAAAATCCATAAAACAAACTGAACAGTCTTTGTTAAGGAAATTTTTGGCTTCCTGAATATCCCAGTAACTATTTGCTGCCTGGACCACATCGTAGAAGTATTCTGGATCTTCTTTAATTCTGTCTTCCATCTCACTTATAAGTTGCAAAGCATTTTCGGATCTGCCCCAGCTTTTGAGATTGTGTTCGGCAAATAAAATCCTTACTTTTTTCTGCAAAAATAATATTAACTCAAATTTATAGTAACATAGACAAAATGCAATGCTTGTTCTGATTGTGAAACCACACCTGAAGAATGGCTTTTCTGCTAATCCCGGGAAACCCATTTAAAAAGTCACACAAAAATAATATAATCTAATAAAAAGACTATTAATTAATTATAAATCAGGCTCGTAGCCAGGGGGTTTTTAGGGGTTCGGGCGAACCCCCCTTTTTCATCAAACCCCCCCTTTTGTCAGCGAATCCCCTTAACCAGAAAACGATCCCCCGTTTCCAAAATAGTGCAATTTATTGCAAAATAGGAGCATTTTTGGCACTGTTTATTGTCGCTATCGTTCGTAGTCCGATCGTAAAAATCAAAACAAAGCTGCAGCCAGCTGAATGACGTAACCAGCAAGACTTCAAAATGAATATTAATGAGAGGTTTGTTGTCTAAGCTATTTGACCAATCGCGTGCTCCGTAGTTTATTTACTTTGGCACGACGTCATCACAAAAGTTTGGGTGCTCGACATTTTTCATTTCTCTGGGATCGAGGACACGCGCCAGGGCCTAGGCTAGCTAGGCTAGCAAGGAAATATACTTGGTAATGTTTTCACGTTTCGTCAGAATTAACTGACATTATTCATAATAATATATTTATTATTTTTTTTCAATATATCTCATTTAAACCAAGACAGCTCTTAAATTATTGTTTATTTTCACTGTGCTAAGTTTTTTTACATAAACTGGTTCTTAAACATGTACATTTGTAGCATTAGAATTATGTCTGGTTTTTTTTTCAATATTACCGTGCAAGTATATTTACATGGTTCTGTAACTTGTAAATATAATAACATTTTTCCTTGCCCTAATTATATATATTTTCATTGCAACTTAACATTTAAGTTATTTTGGTAAAAAAGTAAAATGTAGGGCTGTCAGTTCCTATTGTTTCTTCATTTCTGCAATAAATAAAATATTATTTGCAATATTTCTCTTTTAAGCAAAGACCTTTTACATACCTCCATATTTTAATAATGGTATTTAAGCGATCTCATAATGTGCAAGGTCTGTGTTTTGTACAGTCACCTAGTGGGTATTGCTAATTTTATCCCAGTTATATTTTTAGAGATAACATTACATAGTAGCATTAAAATGTTAAGCATTGCTTTTTAATTAAAAAAAAAAAAGTTTGTTTCACAATAAACATTTACGTTCTAAATCCTGTATTGGAGAAAGTCTTCTTATCTTATTTTTAAAATTGTGTAAAAAGTATTTAAATATACATGAACATGCATTTAAATGACATGTACATGCATTTAAAATCCTATAAATGCTCTGGCTTCGGGGGCTTCGCCCCCGGCCCCCACAGGGGCTTAGCCCCCCCTTGACCCCACCTGGGGCCCTTTGGCGGGCTCTGAACCCCACGCCCAGAACCCCCCTTGAAGCATGCTGGCTACGGGCCTGTAAATTGTATAAATAATAGCTCAGTTGATGCATCTGGATAAGGTCTGGTATAACTTACCTCTCTCTCTTCAACTGGAAAATCAAAAAAGCTTTCTTTCATATAAGGAGCTTTTTCCCAAATTCTGTCATAAAACTGCTTCATGTCATCTTTAAATACTTCTGCTAACATCTGGTTTACATCACCTTTGCTATTGGTCAATTCTGCTATTATTTCTTCAGTTGTTAAGACATGTCCTCCCCTCTCAAGTTTCAATCCAGTTAACTTGACAATCTACGCAATTAAACAAGTTTAATTGGTCAATTAATTTATTCATCTTATATACAGGTCTCCTATTTAAGACCACTTTTGGGAACAGAGTTTCCATGGCATTAAGCAGGTTTGGTCTCTATTAGAATAAAAGGATAAAAGAAATTTGTTAACTTAGAACTTCACAGAAATGTGGTCTTTAATTGAAAGTGGTCTTTAATTGGAGGGGTCTTTAATTAGAAGACCTGTATTTAAAAGACCTGTATTTAGTTCATATTTAACTATTCTTAAGCAATTACTGTCAATTTCTGAGGACACTTTCGAAAATGAAGGCTGAAGGAACCATTATTTCCTTTTAAAAAATTATCTCATAACCATTTATGCCTTTCTAGGCCTTGCCTAGTAGGTGGTCTAGGCTTCAATGGTATTAACCAGTGCGGCAGAGCAAGATTTTTTAGGTTCACTGTGTGCATTCAGAGCTTGACCTAGCAACAAAATTTTCATTGCAATAGATTTGGCGCTGGGTGTCATGTGACCTAACTTGTGTGTTGGACGTAAACAATAGACTGGCACAGCGGAGATTGCTATGGCGGCTCTCCCATGTTATTGCTGTAAAGATCATCATACAGCAATTGCTGTATTTGTTCTTTTGAACGTAATTTAAGTTACTCTAAGTCGATTGCTGATGTCCCAAAATTCAACACACAAACTTTTTGTAACTTGGCGTCCAAGGCAATTTGAGATTTTTCGACAAATGTTAGGCCTAGGCCCTGGATATCTACGGCCTGTTTAGGTATGCAGGAGAGCCTTCGACCCGCGGACTATGCTACGATTTCTAGGCTAGCTAAGGTTTTCGAAGGATCACATAAATTTCAAAGCATACAATGCAAGGAGAACACTAGAATGTAAATACACGCTATTTTCAACAATTGTATTGCCTTTCCTTGCCATTTATTTCTTAAGTTAACAGTGGGTGGTTGTTTTCGAAACCATAACATTACCTTTTCCTATACTTTCACACTGATCGCACTGTAATGTTTTTCATGGTACATCGACTGTAGGTCACGTGACCGGCTGTAAATAAACATCGCCGAATCCCTCTATTTAAAACCACCCCAACTTTAAGCTTTTTCGACACCAAAAGACCAAAAAAATAGCAGGCACTATATCAAATTAGTGTGCAAAAAAATTACTTGCAAATGAATGTGATGATGTCACGACTGACAATACATCAAAAGAGTAAATTAAGAACAAAAATTTAATTCTAGAAAATTAGGTCAATCTCTGCTATACAGTAACACCCAAAATATGTATTACAGGAACTGCACTTGTGACTAAAGAATGTCAATTTTTAATCAACAAGTTTTCATCACTATCAAAGTAAAAAAGAAATGACGAAGAAGGATTCTAAACATTTGAACCAAAACACAGCTAGATATGGTTCAAAATTTATTTTAAAAAAACTATAAAATAAATATTTCAAAATTACTGAGTATAAAAAATTAATAAATGAAAAAAAAAAAGAATTTAAACTTTCATACCTTGTTTTGGATTTTTTCAATGCACTCCTGTTCTATCTTTTCCCTGTCACCCTTGTGTTTATAGATTACATCCCTTATTTGTTCATCAGAAATTGTTGCTCCTGGTACCATAGCATTCAGCTTGTCAGTAACCGACACCTTAACACTCTCAACAAAGTTGTGATAATTTTTATCAAGCCAGATGTCAATCGGTATGTTGTCCTTCTCAGCTACATTTAGTGCAACCTCAATCATTTCAAAATCAAAACCTTTACACTGGGCTTCCTGAAACATAAAAACATGGTCATATTTTTCCAATGCATTCCAGTATTTATTACAACAAATGGAAATTAATTTTTCACACAATTGTTTAAATATGTTAAATTTTTTGTAGTTTAAAATTGCACTGTATAACATACAGATTCTTGGAATGAATTGTTGGTCCTTTTTTATAAAATCTTATGAATGTAGTTAAGTTATATCAGTTTTGTAAACAGTGGCAGACTGTCAAGGCAAGCAAGGTATGCAGTGCATACCCTGGCTAAAACAAGTAAAAAGATATAGTAGTACAATTTCTCCGTTTTATTTAGCATTTTCTGTCAGAATCTTCTATAAACCTTAATTTTTCAAGTTGATTGCTACAGTTCATTGGAATACCAAAGCTTTTTCAATGTTTGGCCTTCTTTGTTATCGGGGTAAACTCACAGTCGGGCATATTGCATCGTACTCTCAGTTGCTTAGGATTTCCATATAGTTGGTTTCCAATGTCAGCCAATCACGTTTTCAGTGAGTCAAAGGGAGTCAGAGCTTAAATTTGCTATTGTGACAACCGTGTGGTGGCATCAGAATAGCCAATTTAACACTGAAATGGAAGTGGTGCTTCCAAAAGTATGTGTGCATGCTCTTCTGCTCACAAATCAGGACATCCACTGCTGATCGGGTATTCTATCTATAGGCCTAATCTCAATGACTAAAGTTTAAATAAATTTGCATACATATGACCAGTATAGAAAAAATTATTGAATTGAAATTTGTTAAAATACAGAAATAGGAATTCTTTTGATGAGAAGATACTACAACCATGCCGGTATTAAAAATAACATACATTTGTAGTTTGACTATCGGACACAATCTGATTCTATATAGTAGTAGTAGATTTACAAACTTTTTTCTACTACTAGCAGGCCCTACTGGGCAGGCAGGCCCTCTTTAAAAAAAACCAATGGCTCTATTTGAAACATTCTATAATACTTTGTAAAGGTCTTGTAAAAAAATTTTTAAATTTTTGTGACGATCCGCAGTATGGTGTGGATCTGAGGACCATTTAAAGGTAAACATCCCAGACTACATACAGTATTTCGAAAACGGATTAACTGATCTGAATGAAACATTCGGAAAAAGTTCAACCTTACAAGGAAAAAACTATTACTGTATATGCTGGTGGTGAATCAGTCAAGGGTGTAAAATGGAGGGTCATTCAATTTTTGAGGACCCAGACCTAAATATCTCTGAAAAAATCAATGGGTATAATTTAAACTTTGTATAACAGTTTATCAAGGTTGACTAAAGAAATGATTAAATTTTTGTGATGATCCGGAGTAGGGTATGGGAGGGTCATTTTAATTTTTTAGATCACAGAAGTAAATATCTATCAAAAGTTTTCAATGGGTGTAAATGTAACTTTCTATAATAGTTTGTAAAAGTCCAGTAAAAAAAATGACTGAATTTTTGTGATGATCCGGCGTAGGGTATGAATATGAGGACCAAAAGGAAAATGTCCCAGACCAGATATTTCAAACAGAGCCTTGCAGGAGTCAACATCCCTATGCATGATACATGACTTAACCAACCATATTTTCTGATAAAGTCATCATAAATGACATAATCAGAAAATATGGTTGGGTCAAATTTGTGTGGTGGTTGAAAAAGTTGTCTTTATGGCCCAAAATAGTGATTTTAGACCACATTGGTAATGTAATTTGATAGGCAAATTACAGTAATATTTTTAGCAAATTTCTTTGAAAAAATTTCATAGGCCTAGGGCTAGCTAGGTATACAGTATTTTCATTTTACAGTAGTTTGGAACGATATCGGGAGTGGGGGAGCTGGCAGTGGCCTACTAGGCTACAATTTATTTGAAAATAGCTTGGGCCCGATCGTCCACACCAGTTGGGCCCAATCGTCTGTCACCCGAAATTTTCATTACGATGATCAAGAACGTACACGATCTAGGCCCTAGGCTAGGCCTAGCCTTACTGCCGTTACTCGGCTACGTATACTACTGCATAACAAAGAAAGCGACTCACGCGGTGCATTCTTAAATTTTACACACATTATTTAAATGTATGTTATTATGATCTACCACCCACGCATCGCAGTAACTACTGTACTAAACTAGGCCTCATGCTTTTGTGGAAAGCCTAAGCTAGATAGTCGTTATGTACTCGACAGTCGGCTGCCTTTATATCTTCACTTGTCTTCAGTTTGCATTCAAAGGGTACACTGCTGCATAGCTAACTGTCGGGGATATAATACCTTCATATGACTACTCATACAACAACAAAAAAATGTTGCATGGAGGTAGCGAAAAATGGATATCTAATTGAAAAAAACAATATATTTCTGCAAGTATTAAAACCTTTTTTTTTTTATTTTAGGCCTTCTTCAAAATGCCTATGCCTACAGCAGCTGATTTTTTTTGCCGCAAAACCAAAATAGTTTCATCCATGCTGACTTGCCGATCGGTTAGCGCGAGCCCTGACTGAACACTGCAGAAACTTCACATCGAACTTTGCATCGCAAAGAAAAACAGAATGTCAGAAAACTTTTTTTACGCATGCGCATTTGCATAAATGTCTACAAACACACACACAGGGAAAACAGTGAAAAGTGATTACAATAGTTCCTATTGCATTTCATGCATAGGAACTAAAAACGGGTCAACTGGAAAGTTTAACCCAAGTTACAAGGAAGATATTATTATGTGTAGGGGATGATCCAGGAGGGTGTAAATTTGAGTGTCATTTAAATTGCTTACACCCCAGTTTTAGATGGATAAAAATGACACTTTGCAGAATAGTTTTTCATGGTAAAATGAAGAAATGATCAAATTTTGGTGACGATCCGCAGTAAGGTATTGATATGATGTACCATTGATACCATTTAAAGATTTTTTTGTTGACAGTTGATTAAATTATTAAAACGCAATTTTAATTTCATTTATTTCGTCCAATTTTAAAACATTATACAATAAAAACAAAAACAAAACACCCTTGACAGAGACAGGATTAAACAAAAGAAAACTTAATTGCTGCACAAATTTTCTCTGCCGCCAATTTGCGTTTTCTAAAGCGCTCAAACCAGTTACAGCTAGGCTAAACTCAAAACTACCATGATATGTATGAACAATTTTTGCTTTCAGTCATTCAATCGCTTTGAACTGAAAATGCACTTTCCTATTCAAGGTCGGTTCATGTGGCTCGCAATGGTTACGAGTCATGATGTACCTTGCTATAACCATTGTAGCCATAGTTTAATGGTAATGGTAATGGTAATGGTTGGAGACTTACATAGTGCAAAATACATGGTCTCTATGCGCAAAACAAGAAAAAACAAGAAAAAAACAAAGCTATCCTAGGCTACACAGAAACTAAAAGTCAGAAGAGACAGACTATTGCAGAAGAGCCAACACCATTGCGATCGTTTTCCTGCAATTTGAGACCACTGGCAATTAAGCAGCAGTTGGCAAGATCACAACTCACAGATGCTCTAATGGTGTTGGGTAACTAAATAGCCTATCAAAAATATGAAAAAACAAAAGAAAAAATTACAAGGTTTGAAAAAGGTCTCACTAATTACATCGCAGTGAACTTGGTTTTCGTTTTTTTTTTCCCCGCTTTCTTTTTCCACTTCATTAAAATTATATTGGTTTTTCATGTTTTTTTTACTTTATACTTTCTAATGGATTTTCTTTTTGTGGCAATTTCAACTTCATTTCTCATTAAAGCAATGAGGAAAAGCCCTATGTTCTGTTGTTCAAACAGACATATAGTAAGTCTAGTTATTATTATTATTATCAATGAATAAAATCAGACCAAATAACAAATATTTATTAGGTCTGTAACCAGATGTACTGTAACCTGGCATAAAACACCAACAGGGTACTATAATTAGTTCAGTGGGAAACATTAAATAAGGTATCATACATGTTACAAGATGAATGCACTGGTTTTTTTTATACATACCCTGTACATAATACAACTGTTATTAATTTGATGCAAAGAATTTACAATTTATTGAGGAAAATGATACATGCTAAGTTTATGCAACAATCAACAGATTTTAATATCATAGCAATCAATTATTTCGGGCATGCATGATAAATATAATTTCAAAAGTTAATTTAGTCATGAATACTCACTCTAATAGCGGTCACAAGAGCTTGGCCCTTTCCTCGTATGTCCTCTTGTTTGGTTCGGATCCTCATATCAGTCAGTGTCATTTGTGGCCCTGGAAGAAAATTTATTGCAACATCACTGTGTGGAAGTACTAGAATTGGCACATTGTACAGTAGCTCATGAAGAACCTACTGCAGAGTAACATTGTAGGTGAGGTCAAAGGAATGTGTTGGATGAATAAACAAATACAGTTGAAAGCACTGAAAACTTTACATGCAACAATAAAGCAAACTGGGTATTGATAAATATTGACAACTGAATACTACAGGAAGTGATGCTTAAAAAAATGAAGGAATATGTAATGTTCGTAGTAGCAGTGTAGCAACAACATCAGAAGAAAAGTAAACACCAAGCAACAACAGCAATATATCAAAGTAGCAACAGCAACAAGAATGAGAACAACCACCACCACAAAACAATACTATTATTTTTCAGTATGTTAGTTATTATATCACCTTCATTCATGCTGGTACACTATGTTAAAAATTTAGTATTTTCCAGCTTATACACTTTCAATTCTGGCTACAATTACTGACACTGACCACCAGAGCTAGAACATGTTCGTTAATCATGCAGAGTGATCTTTTAAATAGAATGGCTCTCAAAAAATTTATTTTATTGAAAAAGAATTTTATAGGTAAAAATGAACAAGACTGCATACAAGGTTGTCTAATGTGAGGTCACACTTTGATTAAAATTCTTCAACACTCTCAGTTTTTTTCTACTTACCACTATAAACAGTTAAAATATTGCATTCACTTTTCCTATTATTTTTACCTACATAGTATATTTTACAAAGAAAAAAAATTCAAATACCTAATGAATGTAAGAATTCATCAGGTTTTCTTTTGGAAACTTCTGATATTCGAGGGAAGGTTTGTGACAAAGGCTCTTTAACTGATTTATTTCCATATTTTGCTTCATCCTCGAGTCTTGCTCTTCTTTTTGATTCCAACATCTGAAAGTAATTGAGTAATGACTATGTTAAGAAACAAAATATAGATGTGTCCTCTGGCTTGGTCTGACGGTGTTATCTGGTCTGTACTGGAATGATTTGGTCTACTCTGGTTGGATTTGACATAATCTAGTTAAATTGATCTGGCCTAACAGAAGTTGGTTTTACTGGTTTAATATAGTCTGATCTGTGTTGACTACAGTAAATACATACTGTACAGTATGCATCATGATATATTATAAAATTCATTTTCCTCAATAATTATCTAAAACACGATACTGCATAAATATAAAAAAAATATCAAAATAGTGTTTAAATATATTTGCCAATTGCAGACAAGAAAGTCTGAGGTGTGAAGGAAAGAAAGGCTGCTGTACAGTAGTAATCAAACCAATAAGAGTACCATTGTAATGCTCCTCCATCAAACCATCCAGTTTATGAAATTCAATGGTTTTCCACATTAACAGCAACACACTGGGACAACTAGAGTGTACAGTACTGTAGCTCAGGTAATAAAGCATTAGTATGGTACTCTGAATGGTCTGGTTCAAATCCTACAGGAGCTCATACTGTACTGTACAGTACATCCACTAATCCACTTGAGTACTTTACTTCCATAGAGCAGTTGGAATTTTTAAAAAAAGTACTGTAATCAAAATTTCTATGTACTTCTCTTCTAGCTGCCATGTTCAACTACTGTACTGTATAAAAAGTCTCCTATTTTTTTTTCATAGGTGTAAATATGAGAGACAACTTATTTTTTATAATTAAAGTGTCTTTAATATTCATGTCAACTTTAATACAGAAAGCACATGGGACCAACAGCTTAAAAATCTCTACTGAATGCAGGTGCATTATAGTATTGTAACTTGAATCTTGAACTCTCCAGCAGAAACAAAGTTAACTGACGGTGCTGAAATACTGTAGGAACCTAGAAGTACCATAATTTTAGTGCACACACAGTTCTTACTACCACACAGCCATTGTATGCTCTGTACTTCATATGTTTACTGTACATAAAATATTGTTAAAGATATAAAGGTAACCACTAAAATTACACATTTACACAAAGAATGCTTTTTATCACTTACCTCTTCTTCTTCTTTCTGCATTGTGAAAGCGATTCCAGGAGAAAGTGTGCTAGAAGCTGCCTCTTTTCGAGCCAATGGTGTTAAAGCTATAGTAGCAGCAGCACCCTGTAAGGAAGACTTAGGTTTTACTGAAGCAGCCATATTCCTGTAAGTGGTCTTTGAACACATTTCACAGATAAAAGAACCAGTGTCAGTGTTCCAAAATGTGCAATACTGACATTCCCAACCAGCTGCTTGAACTCTTTCAGAAGACATAAAAACTGGCTTTTCTGAACGAACCTCTGGCATATCATTTTTTGAAAAACCACCAGCAGGTGCAACAGAATGTTCATTCTGTTGTCTTTCAGCACTTGTTTGTGGTATGGTGTGTTTTGAGTCTTGTATTTGTTGCAATTCTTCAGGAACATCCACTGATGACTTCAGCTTCACAGATATATCTGGCCTCACAGTTGGATTTGCAGAGAGTCTTGGGAGTGGAACTGGCACATTTGGGGGAGTGTAAAACATTGGTGGGTTTTTAGCTTGATTAGAAGCTTGATGCCCCTCCGCAGCTACCTCTTTATCATCCAATCTTTTTGGATCAGCCTTCTCTGATGCAGGTGGTTTTCCAGGTGTTATATTCAAAATGTCTTCAACGGGTGGCTTTTTGATGTTGAGAACAAGTGGCTCGAAGGGTTCTGACTTAGTTACTTCAGGTGTATTTCTTGGTTCTGTTGGCTGCTGTGGTGTTTCCAGCTTTAATCTGTGTTTGGAGCTCTTACTCTTTCCTGTCTCCAGTACAACATCTAGGGCTTCCATGCGTTTCATTAAACTCTTGTGCCTATTCATCAAGACTTCTCTTTCTTTTTCAAGAACTATGTATTGATCACAATTTTCATCTAATATTGCATCTTGTTTTTCTTGAATTACTTGAACTTGTTCTAAAATAGTTATACATTTCCTCCAAATCTTTTTCTTAATTTCCTCAATATCCTGTGGTTTCACCGGCGTAGACGTTGATGCAGGTTGCGATAAAGGCCCTGGAGAACCATGATAAACACTATCTTGTGATTTTATTTCCTTATAGGTACTTCCACTTCCACCTGAAGAAGGTATGCTTGGTTCATCACCTGATGATTCACTAATGGTTCTTGGAGCAGGAACAGGTCTTTTTATTTTCGTTTCATGTGAGTACCTGTAAAAAAAAAAAAATTCTTGGGTCATACATTTAAAATCTTGTTTTATGTTTATTTCATTAATAAACAATTCAATTTAAACTTTAAGAAGTAGATATTTAATCTGTAAATGCGAGAAGTTTTTGTAAATCCCCGAGGGTACACATTAAAGAATAGACCCCACATTTTACAGATTAATTTTAAATATGTTGATTGCTTACGTTTTAACCCTTTGAACCCTGCATTATTTACATCTTGCGGCACCCTCACCCTTAGTTATTTGGACAAAATATGCTTTTTTTTATTACAATCATCACCACCACCTCCTAGGTCCTGTACCGCTACCATAGCCATCCATCAACCCGACGCACAACTACCATCACTACCACTGCTGGCACTAGCACTATCGTGATCGGCCTAGCCTAGGGCTAGAAACTACACTGTTTACCCCACTTTCACTTTCCAAATCACTTCCTGGATAATCGTCACCATCAATATTTTCTTTGGTGTCATAAAATATCAATCGTAAAGCACCGTTTATTATTCAATATCAATTTGTTTTTTCAAAAAAATCAACATGTACGAGGCTGTCAGAACGACTTGGGAACAAAATTACGTCACATTACTCATACTGGTTGGGTGATTACCCCGAATAATGTCACCTGACCCGCAAAGCCGGTATACAGGCCTTTAGGGTTATTGCAGCATAAGCGCGCAGCCATTTTTCCGGCCTTTCGGGTTCAAAGGGTTAAAAATTATTATGGTTTACTACAAAATCATCATATTTTAATAATATTAATATTCAAACCTGAGCTGTATTTGGTAAAACACAGTAATACTTTGATTAAATTTTTCAAAGATAAAGATTAAATGTTTGACTATATTCTACATATAAATTTTAAAAAAAATGTACATATTATCTACAATATTTATTATAAAATCACACTAAATACTTACATTAATGGTTGAACTATATTTCCATCTCCTGGTAGATAGCGTTGGCCATCATGAAAGGCAGTGGACAATTGCCTACCATCACTTACATTCTCATACAAATGTGTAGATGGTGGCCTCTTTAACTTCGCTGCAATCTGCTGACTGAAGTTGTCAGGTACAGATGGCTCTGGTTGTTTTTTAAATTCCTCTGCCATCTGCAGGTTGGGTTTGTCTGGATCGGTCTTCACATCGACATCTACTTTTCTTGTCAAAAGCTCGGTCTTGTGCCCTTTCCGTTTTGGATGGGAGTGCCAAACTTTGTCACACTCTTCACAATTTGAATTCTCGCAGTCATTACAGTACACTGTGGCTTTGCTATCACCACATAGATTGCAATCAGTATCTAAAAGGTAAAATACAATATTATTTGCCAAATACTCTTGAAGCATCAATATTCCATCTCATAGAGACCATAACAGAATTGTTTAAAATCCGAGAAATTAAATCATATTGTTTCTAAATAGGTTCAATCAAGTGGAAATTTGACTACAGTAATATTGTTAATCAAAGTAAGTCTGAAAAGTATGATTGATTTACATTAAGTATTATATATAAGGTATATTGTTGTCTACCACTACCAATATTTCTTTTAATTAGAAAATAAGCTGACAGAAAGGAAAAGAAATAAAAAGTAAAAGCCTATTTTTTTTTGTGTTTAATTTATGAAAATACAGAAAATTGAAATTCTGCAAGTTAAATGCTTACCACTGTTTTCTCTCGAAAGAATGGCTGCCTGTGGTTTGTGGTCCTCACTTCGATCAGCAACCTGAGCTTGTGGTTGGCTCTGTATTGGTGATGGAACGCGGGCTGCCTCTGTACCATAGATAGTTGACCCTAGCGTAGACAATGAGGGTTGTGCTGGGGCAGTCTGTGAACTTGGGCCATATTCAGTGTGTGATCCCACTTGTCTAGCTAGTCCGGAAGCTGGGCCATACATATCTGAAGAAACTATTGATGTGATAGGGCTGTTGTGTAGAGTATGGTATAATGCTTCAGGGTGAGGGTGGAGTTTGTTCATGTACCTCTCAATCTCAACCTTAGCCACTATCAAGTCAGTCAAAATTTTGACTACCTGTTCTTCATCAGGATGGTTGACTTCATCAGGGAATGATAATCCATCACTAATTGGCATGCTGTACCCAAACTTCTGGAGAATTTCTTTGGATCCCTGTTTCAGTAAATGCAATGGAAATTACATTTATTCATGAATATAATCTATATATTTATTATCAAATATCACTTTATTTATTTTTCATGATAAAAATTTACATTTAAATAATGCTCTAAATATTCAATTTAACTCACATCATACTGTATGAGGCTTGCCATCCCAAAACCAGCGTACTGTCACTTAATGTTTATGTAACGATTACCATAAGAAAATGGCAGTATTGTACTGTATAACCAGCGTACTGTCACTTAATGTTTATGTACCAATTACCATAAGTAAGTGGCAGTATTGTACTTTATACTTTAGTACAGAGAAGTTGTAGTACTTTTACTCAAAATTTTGGCAATTGTAAAGTCAAATGTAAATGACCTATCACTCTAAAGACTGTATTGTGGAGAATATGAATGTATAAAGTAAATTTTCTTGTTAGTCATTGATGCTGAGTTTGACATCACAATCCCCATATATTATAACAATATTAGTATTAATACCATTTTTATACAAATCAATGGTAAATTTTCTTTACCTCAACGACTCCAACTTTTGTTTTAAAAACACCATTGGAAAAGAAAATAATCTTCCATTTTGGTGGACGGCTTGTAACAGGCTTTAGCAGATTGCGACCATATTTCTCCAATACTCCTAAAGCAGTTTTAATGGTTTGCAGAGCTTCACTTTCTCTCTAAGAAACAAAAAAGAGAACAAAAATAAAATTGAATGATGGCAGTCTTTGTGTTAAAGTTTTCCCAGTTTCACTATTAATTAGTGTGTTCAAATTAATGGCGGATTCAAGGGCTGAATTTTTCAAAATTAAAATAGAAAAATTCAAGCTCCAGAAGGAAAACATTTGAATATGTTGTTAAAAAATCTGTTATCTCATTAAACCCTTCCCAAGTTCTTTGTCAAACACACTTGCCCTCCAGAGCCTGACTTTAAGTCTGACACTGAGGTGCTATAATTTTCCTACCTCAGCCCCACCAGGGTTGGGGCTGAGGTGGTCTAAACCACCACCATATGTGAAAGTCTCTCCCTGGGCCCTGATAACTGGTTCAGTTGTCTGCTACTGCGCACCAATATGGCAGCAACTTTTCAGCAAGTGGACACAATCACACAGGATAACAAAGCACTTAGTACTGTAGCCAAAAGAAAGGCAATAAAATAGTTAGATAAAAAAATACAGTATTTGTATTATTATAAATATTTCCTTATTTCAATACATGGCATTGGCATGTATTGAAATTACAGAATGTGTTTGCAAAACAGGGGGACACATCCCCCCATTGGATTTGCTCCTGAACTGCTGTAGATCTTCTCTGAACTGTCGATATTTAATATTTACTGTTTTCTTTGCCTACAGTAATGTTTGTATTGTCTGGTCTCCCTGCTGATTGCAAATTCATTTTTATTTTAAAATTTTTATATATTTTTTATTATGGCTTTATCCCATTGGCAAAAGTAGCAGTATACATTCCTGTATTATTATTGTATTTAAAAACAGTTTGAGGAAAAATAAAATTCACAAAAAATATTTGGAAAAAACTGATATATAATTGACTATATTTGTCAGTTAATCATAATCAATGAAACATATAATATGTAAATAAGAAATTTCCAATATATACCACATCCTGATTGGTAGGATTTGACTCAAATGTTTCTATTTATAATGATTTTACTCTACAGTAATTTCTCAACACTTCCTGATGTATAAAAGCCATTTGTGATCATATGATATGGTTTAAAAAGTCCAATGACTTCATTAAATACTGTACTGTACCGCTGAGTTCAAAAGGTTATTATTGTACCTCAAAACATTGCTGAATCATAAATTTACTAGTTGACTGAGGCTGATAAGAATTTATATGATGATAATACCTTTAAGTGACTGGGGTATTTATTGGCAGATTAGAAAAAAAAAAACTTCATCTATCCTACAGTATAGCTCTTTCATTTAAATGAGTTTACATTAAAGACATTTAATTTTTACAGCAACACTGAAGAACAATTACATTTCTCCTATTTTTCCCTAAGTTTTCGTATCAGGGGGTGTGTACTGTATACCACCGAGAAATACACAAGCTATGGTAAGGATTCAATGACTGTGACATGTCATGAACAAAGGTCAACATAAATAACTCAATGTATGTTTACAATGGCAGTTCACAGAATCAAACTATTGATTAAGCCTACAGGTATAAATGAAATCATGTATGCCAAGTACTACTGTAGGTCTCTGTAATTGAAAGTAGACTGTACCTTCCCCACAATGTTTTTCCTCAACAATGACACAATATCAATGACCTCATAATGCATTTCAACAGGGCATTTCGTCTTCAGCATGTTTTCCACTAGCACTGTTGGATTAATAGTCTGTTTCCCACGTATATTGTTCATAATCTGGATCCTTGTGTTACGGATATTTGCTAACATGCTTGAAGATTCGTATGGACCGTATATGTCCCCTTGGAAAGATGAATAATATTCACCCCCAGTAATGTATTCGTGCGGGTCAGCCATTTTGAATAACCAGACTCTAGAATTAGGAGAAAATTATAATAAGAAACACAAGCAAATACTGTAGGCCTTAAACTACAGGTATACCAGTGGTTTATATTGGGAAGTATTAAAGGTTTACTGTATTTTTTAACAGAATTTTGTTGCCCTTTTTAGTGTGCAAGACCTGATTGTCTTTTTACAATGCTTGAACATACTGTGCATAATAATTATTATTTATATTTTCTTTTCACTATGATTATTAATTGGGATTTTTTACAAATTTGTATGTGTTTCATAAAAAAAAAAATTGGTGAGAGGACGATCAACAACTTTTTATTTTTTAAATGGCCTTATTACGACTGTCTTTTGAAATTAATTTGAATACCATAGTGTGGCTTTTAGTACACATATGACATGAGTAAAATGAAAAGAACACACATATTTCCAGCTCATATACAGTATATCACTCTTATTTGAAAAGTTAAATGATTTAATAATTTATTTAATGATTAAACTACATACCCTACTATTGTAGGAAATTAAATTACATTTAACAAAAACAAAATTATATTTAAATTAGTGCCTTGGTGATCTTAGGCACCGCAGATTCGGCCGACACTAATTTTCAGTGCTGAAAGTTCAACTGACATTAACGTACTGTACATAATCATTTAACCATGTCAATAAGTTTACGTGACCATTATTATGCATGTTTATTAAAGTATATATATATCATACTGATTTGTTTTCGGTCACGTAAATATATCCACTTCCTTTTTATTATTACACCCTTCGCTCCCATGGAATAGGCCAGATGACTGGCCTAGCTAGGCATAGCCTAGATAAAGCTTACATGTAAAGATAATTAATGGAGGTGGATGAAGGTATTATTGAGGAGATTACTCAAAAATTCTCCGCACACGCAGCGCTATGCAAATGAGCCGAAAACAAAGCTGCCACAGCGCATGAAGAAACGTTTGCGGCGCAATTGTTCCTACCTTGAAGCTAATACATTTATCTTTCATGAAATACCAAACATATTAATATTTCTACAAAAAATAGTTTGAAATTTAATGAAACATTTACATGAGCTTTAAAATTATGGTATATTTCAACTTGAATTTCCATAAATTGGATAAAACTTGATAATTCTAATTTTAACACATATTAATCAAGGAATAATTTAGGATTATAATAAACTAAGTCATTTTGGTGTAAACGAGTGTGGACTATTCAAAAATTCAATCCAAAATCTGTATAATTTTCAGTTTTACGCTGCCTTAGCTTTATAGACGAACCAATCAATCTTTAGACAAAATTATACTGTAATGAATGTTCACAGAAGG